CAGCCCTGAGAGCGCTGTCCAAACGCTCCTGCAGCTCTGGCAGCCTCGGGGCCGGGACCATTCCCTGGGGAGCCTGGGCAGTGCCAGCACCCTCGGGGGGAAGAACCTTTCCCTAATAACAAACTTAAACCTCCCTTAACACAGCTTTTTGCTGGTTTTGCTGAACTTTTTTCCCTGCACTCTGAGGACGTTTCCATACAGCAGCACCACAGGTAGGATGCCAATAAGCAGGAACATTAGTTTTAATACCAGCTTGTGTTGCCACTGCACTTGAGCTTGGCAGCTTTTTATTTTTGAGTAGTTCCATGAAGAGCAGGAGCTCAGCTACACTGACAATGTCCTTCTGACAAGCAACTTTTTCTGCTGTCTTTGTTAAAGACAGAAGAGATCTGCTGTGGCCAATACAAGTCTTGTTGAGAACTCAGTGACACAAGCTCTAAGCCTGAAAAAAGTCATGGTGTTGGGTCAAACAACCACGTAAGGAAGAACAGAAGCAACTGGGGTTTCACTCCCATATTCTTCCAGAACTCTGATGAAATACTACTCTGAATGAAATAGTTTTTACTCAATACACACAGCTTGCATCCAAATTACAAATTGGTATAAAACCTGAAAATTGAAACAATTTCACTGGTGTGAAACCAAGCGGTGTACAGGAGCTGTCTGAGCAACCGTATCACTGACAGTGTTAAGACTTACTGCATTTCCCCTTGCACCAAAGAACTATCAGAAATGGCTCCCTTCAGGCATTCAGGGCAGAACTCACAGGCTGATACTGGTAGTAATGCCCATTAAAGGAACTGGGAACTGGCTCCAACCCTGAGCAAGTCTGAAAGCAATATCAGCTAAACTGGCAATAGCTGAGGTTTGAAAGAATATTGCTCTACTATAAAGCTCTGGAGAGCTGCAAAAGCACAGGACTTCCAGAGGCTCTGAGCAGTGTCCTCATGCTTCAGGAGCTAAACCCCTCCATTTCATCACAGTTCAGCACCTGGAGATCTGCTATTTTCTTTAAGTAAACAAATCTTACACTCTAAAGAAACCCCTGCCCCAGATGTTTTATCTGTCCTCCAGACACAACCCCATGCTGTGGCATCATTCCCTCTGGATGGAAGCAGAGAGCCTGGGTCTTTGAATTAGCCCAGGAATCCAGTGGGACACAGCACTAAGACCAGCTCCTGATGTGAGCCACAAGCACCACAGGAACTCAAAAGGATTAAGAGAACATTAAACAAAGGGTTGGGGAAATATCTGTAGGAAATTAATAATTACAAATTAGATACTAAAGGCTTAATCCTGGATTTACAGGGATTATGATGAAATTAAATGAAATGTAATCAAAATATCAGGTTACATATTCAACCTCTGTGGAGCAGAAATCACAACTTTAATTTATACAGACTGCAGGCTCTGTGGAAGCTGCTTATCCATTCATCATGCCTGGTTCACTACCAAAACAAACAAGACTCAGCCCAAACTCAGGTTCCTGATCTTAACCACAGCATGAGTAATCACAACTGCTTCAGTTCAACATCCTTCAAGGATGATAGACTCACTAGAAGGGACTTGCAGCTAACACTAAAGGTGGGAAGAAAAACACAAAGGGTTGTGGGACAGACTTGATGATATTAGATGTCTTTTCCAACTTAATAATTCCATGACTCCATGGTGTAAGCACTGTGCGTATGTGTACAGACATGCCTGCATGAGTGATGGACGGAAGGAAGCTATGAATTAAGTGTTGGAGCTCTCACAAGTCTGTGACAAGGCAGAGATTAAGAGCTTGTGTCTGCAAGTCAGCTGGGGGCTCTTGTGTCCAAAGCATCCTCCTGAAAGCACAGCCTTACCTCAACTGCTCTACTCTGACCTCTGCCAGGCTGTGGAACCCCAAGATCTTTAGTCTTTCCCCACCAGCAGGTCTGCCACTAGGAGCAGCAGCCGGCCAACGCGTGCTGACAAACAAGCACTGGGCACAGACACCCAGCAGGACACAGCTCCTAGGGCAGCAGGGATTGAACAGAGACATGGAACTGAACATTTTCTTCCTCTTAACCCCCACTATGACATCCCAAGCCTACAAAACACTGGGTGTGTCTGCCCCATCCCTGAACGTGTTCCAGGCCAGGCTGCACAGGGCTTGGAGAACCCTGGGACAGTGGAAGGTGTCCCTGCCCAAGGCAGGGGTGGGACAAGATGAGCTTTAAGGTCCCTTCCAACACAGACTAGCCTGTGATTCTATGAAATGCACACAATTGACATTAATGCTGTTCTAAATGGTACATTAAGAGAATAATGAACTGGTTATAAAAATTTAGTTTCACCAGCAACTCTTAATATAAATACATTAATCGTTTTTATTGCTCCTGAGCGATCATTACAGGATTGAATTAAAAGTATTTGGTCTCTTAATTATGGATGTGAATATTATTTGCACTCCTTATTCTGATACATTTTGATCCTGGCATAAATTTTAGGGGGAAGAACAATGATGAAAATGTCCATGTAAATTAAGAACGTTAAGAATGAAAAATATTTCACTAGGATCCGAACACACACTGAAGCCCTGGCTGAGATAAAAGGCAGATGTGTTGATTTTTTAATAATTTACCTAAATGCAAACAATGCAGAATTTCATTCCTCAGCATGGTTCAGGAGGTTTGGTGTGAAGATCTGGGTGACTGCTTCAGGGAAACAAGGAGCTGCCTGAGCTGACTTCCCTGGGCTACAGCTGAAGAGAGCTGGAGAACAACTGATGCTGGCAGGAACCTCTGGAAATCCTCTGCCCGAAGCAGGGCACCTGGAGCAGGTTCCTCAGGTTCATCCTGTCACCGAAACTCACCAAAAACTGGTCAAATAAAAGTCCTTAACACCAGTGTAGCATTCAGAAGGGCATTCATTATTCATTACATGCCTGGTTGCACAGGGGATAACTCCACCTTGTGTACATGTGATCTTCTACAGGCCTGTTGCTTATATAGTCACCACGTGCATAATTTGCTCATTACCATAAAGGTCTCCCTAATTTCCCAGGTTCAGTCCTTGTTTTGGCTGTGGTTGCATTCCTAAGCCAGATGTCTTCTCCTTAACTTCCAACCATCCTTGCTGAGAAAGCAGATCCTGCACACCCTGTTTCATGCTAAAACTACGCAGGCAAAGCAGAAATTAGATTAATCCTTTTGGTATCAATTTCAGCCAGGTTTCAGCATCTCCAAGGACAGAAACATCACTGTCTCCTTGGGCAAACTGTTCGACCACTCCCAGTATAAAACCACAACTGACTACAAAGTATGAATTTTCTCTGGAGACTCATTACACAGAGCTGTGCTCAAAATGCTGAGCTACAGTACTGTGGGCAAGAGACAGCAACACTGGAAGAGCAGCACAGCTAAAAGGTGGCTGAGATTTTAGTCCAATTTTACTGAGCTTATTGGATCCCTCACAGGAGAAAAAAAATAAAAAAAAAACCAAACAAAAAAACCCCAGAGTAAATTCTCAACAGGGAGCCATTGCTCTCAGAAATATGTACAATCTCAAAGCCTATTGCTTCTCTGCAAGACAGCCAATATATTGCATTTTCCAGAGCACCCTCCAACCATCAGTTTCCTCCATGAACACCCAAGGCACTTCCAATTCAAGCAATTCAAATTCAAAGCAACCAAAGCAATTTTCTATGGCAAAGCACAGTGTCTTCCATAGCCCTGGAAGCAGACAGGAAGCTGCAACTGCTCAATATTCTCATCAGTAAACTCATGAGGCCTCGAGGGAAGGCAGAATCCTGCACAGGTTGCAATTCAGGCAGGAATCCCACAGAACCTCCTTGTCAGAAATAATGTTTTCCTCTCTTATTGTAACATCTCCCTGCTGGAACCAACCATTCAGAGCTTTAATTAAGTTGTCAAATTCTATCTGTGTTCAGATATATAGACCACAGAATGGGGATCTGTTGAGACAGGCACCTACCAACACGCACCTGGAACCTGCTGTTGCTGTCCCCTCACTGTAACCCAGTAGTGGAAACAGACACCAAGAGTGCAGGTACCTTTACATACTAACTTCAATATAAATTTTACAAGTAAGATTTTTCTTTATATCATATTTTAATGCAACAGTTTCTTTACATAACACTGAGGACAAATAGTGCACTATGTATTCATTCACGCACGCTGCAATGAAGGATCACTGCCCAGCTGCAGGGGCACAGCTCCCCACACAACCATGGGAACAGGAGCACAGCCTTAAATGCATTTATTCTTCCTAACCTACCTGAATCTCTGTGCCTGGTGATGCACTGGCCCTCCAAACCGTCTAGCTGGTGAATGACACAGCTGCGACAACAGTGCCACATTTTTGTTCTGGTTAGGGTTGGCTGCAAACTTCACTGTAATGGGCTCGGATGAACCTGGGGGTTTGTGACCATTGAAATTTGTAATTGCCTCTTCTGCTTCTGACCTTTTGTCAAACCGGATAAATGCGACCCCTCTGGACAAACCTTGTAACCAAACCAATAAACAAACAAACAAACAAAAAAAAAAAAATTGAAGTTCAGGGTAAACTCAAAATAACTTTGAAAACAAAATCCAAAAAAGTTCAGTATTTCTATGGTCACAGCTTTCAAGTTCTCTACATTTATATTTCTTCAGCAGCTGGAGGACAAAATACAAAATTAAGAAACCAAAGACAAATTAGCATACTCATTTCAGCTATAACAACCACAGTGACTAAATACTTAAAAAAATATATGGTAGTATTCTATGATATTCATCACTAACTGACATTTCCATTCACAAAAAACTCAACATTTTAAATTAAGTAAAAAAAAAAACCAAAATTAACTCCAGATGGTTAAAAACAAACCCAAACCTCTTAGTTTCAATTACTTCATCACTAAAGAGCATCTGCAATCACAGAATTTTTGCAAATGTTTTAATTTTTCCATACCTGGAACACACTCAGGTTCAGAGATGAGGGAACAAATATCTGACTATAATAAAGGACTTCCACCTTTTTTAAAGGAGATCAGAATTTCAGCTGCACCACATACACTATTTCCAGCTGACACATAGATTATTTTTAGTCATTAAAATCAATTAAGAATTACCTCTTGGTAGCTGTACTGAACCAATATCACAGCTGTTAAAAATTTGTGTACTTTTTTTCCTAGTCCCATCCCTTGGATGCTGTTTCCTTCTGACTGAGGTACAAGTGATGCCTTGTGAGCTCTCCTCCCCTTGCTTCTCATCTGTGATTTGACCATAGGCTGAAAACACAGTTTATCACAGTGAAGCTAAAAGGGCACATTTAGTTTAAATGTCATTCCAAAGGAGGTATTGTGGTCAGACTAAATATAGGACTTTGTCAGCTGTTTCAGAAAGGGACATATCAGATACTTTGTTTTCTTCAGATCCAACCAGGACCATCTTCAAAGCCAGATACAGAAGCTAAGCTTATCATAAACCACAAGGCTGTTGGTAACAGTTGAGAATCATTTTCTCCGTTTCACAGAAAGAAATGCAATATGTGAAGGCCTGGGCCTGAAGCAAACAAGGTGTGCTTGCATTTTGATAAATAACAACACATGGGCTCACCAGAGCAGAGCTGAGAGCACTGTATGCTCGGTACCACTGAGATCAGCCTCCGTGCCAGGGAGAAGGGTATGGCCCACCCTGGGAAGGCCCAGGGTAGCAGCATCATTCAGAACTCAGCAAGGCCTATCCTAGAGCTCAGCTTACTGTGACTCCTCCACTTTCATGCTGCTCATCCTAGTGTTTCTCAAAGCATTCATTTAAAACGCAAATATTTTAGAAAGTGTATTTTTAAACAGAATAATTTTCAAAAGTTGGAGTACCACCTCTGTGAGAAGGTACAGCTAAGTACAAATTAAAAAGTGCCTTAAGTGGGATCAGATCAAGATACGGAATGCAGTCTTAAAGCCAAGGCATAGCTACATTCTGGTGGGATGGCAAGCCCAGGCTCTACAAGCATTAACTATGAGATACAATAGAACCCACTCTTCAATCAATGCATTATTAAGGCTATGGGAAAGCAGGTGGTGTGTTCTGAGCTGAATTACACAGCACCTCAGCACACACATGAAAACCGTATTATTCTTGGGGAGTTTTTATTTGTATGACTTCTGTCATCTCATTTTACAGCTCTGTAAAATACAGATGCTCTCCAGACCCCATGGACTGCCAGAGACGGATGACTAGTTTTGAAACTTGCATTACTAAGTTTGCTGTGCTCCACAAGTCTTTTTCTTGCCTCTCATTACAGCTGCATCCTAGATAACCAGCTCTAGGGACAGGACCATGCAGGTATCAGAATTGGGCAAAACAAACCATTTTCTCCAGGCAGGATGGGATTTTCCTCACTCAACCATGGAGTGTCTGCCATGTCAGTCCCCAGATCTCACCAAGTCACCTCAGGTTTCTCTGATGCACAGTCACATTTGCAGTACCATCTGACCAAACACCTGCCAGTGGTGCCTGGACCAGGAGCTGGCTCTGATGGGGACACAGCCCTGCTGACCTCAGCCTGCACTCAGACTGAGCCCACCAGGAGCTGCTGGTGACCCACTCCTAACTACAGCAGATTCTTCACAGAGCAGAAAAGCTGCTTCTGAAGTGATGTGTACATCCCAGTTATAAATGTTAAATGTGGAGCTGCTAGAATTAGATTGTCTTCTATTCCAATACACCAGATGCATAATCAATGAAAAAGTGTATTTGTAAAAGCACTCTCCAGATTAATACATGACATATGGGCTACCAGTAAAACCACAGAACAGCTGGGTAACAGGATAAGCAAGACAGTTATACTGTCTGAAATAATGGGGTAAGAACTTAAAAACTCTGAAAACACACTGTAACAGAGTCAGAATTGCCATCACAAAAAAACCCGTAACTTTGGTCTCCCCTGAGCCAAGTAACTTCTCTTTTTTTTTTTTCTTTTTTTCCTTTTTTTAATACACAAAATACATTCAGAACTTTCAGGGCAGTACTAAGTGTATGAAATTAATTCCTTTGCTCAGCAGTAACCACAGAGGTCTGTAAGACATCTCACATGGTTTAAAATATGGGAAAATTAAGTGAGCGAGTTCCAGACTGGCAAAAAAGACAAAACATATTTTTGTTCTGCTTTAAATCTGTAACTACGGCCTGGAATTGACCAGTGGTTAAGAGCTGCATGTGTGAAAAGTCAAGGTAAGGCCAGCACTCCAGGTGACACACATGGTCCAGAAACAGTGCATTGCAGTGCCAGCAAGTGTCAGAGCAAGAAAGTAGATTTGGCAAATCAGTAGCTGATAAAAATGACAATAATCCTATTTTAATATGAGGTTTGTGCTGTAAACTGGCAAAAAGGCAGTGTGTCATTCTGTGTTTAAAAAATATAATTGAACATGAATATCCTGTGAAAATTCTATCACTGGTTGACAGCAGGTGTCATGGTTAGCTTGTGGAAGTCTAATTTACAGAAGTTTAGGTACTGCCAGTCTCAGAAAATACCAAACACGTGCTGTACACTCCAGCTTTCCACAGCCAAGGTCCCAGAACTCACCTGTGGTTTGATCCACAAGGACACGTGAGTTGATGATGCGCCCAAAACGGGAAAACATATCTTCTACATCCTTCTGTGTCATTGACCGGGGCAAGCCACTGATATATAAATTAGCATCCTTGATAACTTCAGAACTTGGGCGGGCATAGGAAACCTTTAAAACAAATAAAAATACGTGTTTAGGGGATTAACAGGGAAGATCAATTTATCGTCATGAGCCAATTTAATTAACCCCCCCATTACCAACACATGCATTTTTACTGGAGTTCAAAAAATGGAACCAGGAGAGAGTAGGGAAAAATAAACCAAACAACAGGAGAAAGGGCATGTCCCTACATAATGCCAGTCATTTTGGGCTTACCCAAGAGATAACAACTATATTAACACTGCTGTAAGGAGACAGCAACAGACCAACACCAATGCTCCCAGCAAACACTTCTGCCACGAAAACAACCCCGAGTTCTGACTCAGCCACTGGACCTGCCACAGCTCACATCAGGAACTTGTCCTGCCAGTATATTTTCTAAATCTTCATAAAAAATGGCATGAGTAGAGTGCAGTTTTCTGTCCTAATTTCTGCTACTGGAGAAAGCTGCATAGATCACCCAAGCAGGAGTGAAGCCTACACACAGAGCACGGGCTGTTGTTTTGTATAAGGAAAGGAGTGTATACTAACAATATTTACAATAAATATTATGAAACATCCAAGATGTGCATGAGTTAAAAAGCCTGGCAACCATCTATAATGGTCTCTCTACTGCTGCAAAAATGGTGGGAATATAAAGAAAGGGAACCTTCAAATACTGAGCTGTTCCAAAACACTTCACTATCTATTCACAATTCACAGATTTATGCATGCTGGAGGTGGGAGCACACCAACTTTACCATCAGAATACAGTTTATTACAATGCTGTTTTCACAGACGACTGAAGAGCTCCTACCTTGATGGTTTTGGACTGAAGTCTGAGACCATTAAGTGTGTTTATTGCTCTTTCAGCATCTTTTGCAGTTACATAGTTCACGAAGCCGTAGCCTAAGCTGTGTCCTAAAGGGAAGAACGTTTTTTAAAATTAATCCTAAAAAAATAATCGAAAGGAATTGCAAACAAGAAGTGAACTTAACATACACAATCCACACAGCAAATATTTCAGTAAGCCAAGGACATTTCCCAAGGCTGGCACACATCATCAGTAACTCGGAGGTCTTTTATTTCTACTCTGGACATCCCTCTGCCTTCACAGACAGCAGGCATTGGACAGAACCCCCTTTAACAGCAAGAAATGTAGGGCTGAAACACCAGCTCTGACCAGTCTTGCAAACTTCATGGCTGTGGAACAAAGGCAATGACTTAACCAAGTTCATCAGTACAAAGTCTTGTGGATTGAGAGCAGAAAGTGAGAAAATGTCAATGGATGAACTGGCAGGTATGAAATGAAGACCCTTGTGATTTCTTTGGCTATCCCAAACTCCACCCCTGGGGACAAGAAGGAAAAAGACATTTCCAATTCTTCATTAATACAGCTAACAAGCAGCTGTAACACAAACACAGCATCAAAGTGAAGAGTGAAAATTTCTCTTTAAGGCAGACAATTATTGTACTGTCACTTTATTCAAGTTTACTCCTAACTCTTAAAGGAAGAATTTGATATTAATAATAAAAATCCCTAAAGTATTTATTGAAAAGTATATTTATTTGGATACTTACATGTTCTTCTATCTCCAATCTCCACTATTACTACTATCAATTATAACATACATACTAAGATAATTTTGGGTTGCAATTTTCCAACAATTACAGGTTATTATCAGTATAGGCCTAAAAATAACTAAAATATTTCAAGACTGTCTAGGAGTAATAAAAAAGCTGCAATTCAACCCAAGACACACTTCTTTCAGCCAGCTTCTCCTTGTCTCTGTCAGATCTGAGGGATTTTCTAAAGAAAATTGTAAGCATGCATAGGAAAATGTGCTATTTTCCTCTAACAATACACTACTTTTAAGTTATTAAGTTATATTGTTAGGCTTAAGAACACTAGAAGACAAAGCTAATTGTTATGGTAAAGGATTCCATGGTGAAATAGCTCTTTTTAATCATACTGCTTGGCTCTGCAATGGTCTTAGCTGACAAGGAAGTTTCCTTATGCTTTTCTGACTTTTCAGAACACCAAATACAGACACAGGCGTCCAATGATGGTATCATGGCAGGAATGTCAAAGGAAATGAAGAAAGGGGCTACAAGAGAACCGTAGATTAACTTCAGATACAGAAAAAAAGATGCCCAGTCTGCTGAGACATCAAGATTGCAAGTGTAAAATCCACAAGGGAATAGAAGGAAGCCCCAGATAACCCCCAGTGTTTTCATGCCAACAGACTGACTGCAGAGCTGCATCAGCTCCTGGCACAGCCTCTGCCTTTGGCTGCTTCCTTGTGAAACCTAATCCAGCAGTAACTCAGCTGAACCCAGACTTTGTCAGAGCCTGCTGTCTAATATACCCTTTGTATAAACACTCACAGGTAATTTCTGTCATCTGCTAAAACTCTTAGAGAAGCCAGATTCCCTGTGTTCAAGCCTTGAACAGAAACAACATCCTGTTCCCTTAGCGACCTGGTACTAAACCAGCTCCAAATCAGCCTCTCGTGACACCAGACACAGAACACAACTAAGGCACACCGCTCTGTGACAGCCAAGGAGGATTGAACTCCATCCTCTGGAGACCTACAGACAGCATCCACAAAATTCTGATCAATGTTTCCAACATGTACCCACAGCAGGGTTTTTGTGATTCCTCTATAACATTCATTTTGTTAGTCAGAGACTAATAAAACTGAGATCAAATATGGTTGATTCCCACCACTTGCCTTCTGAGATTATTTACCTCTGATTAAGAAAATGAGTAATTGAACATTTAAAAAAATGTTGAGCATCTGGAGCCTACCTTATTTCTCAAGACTAAGAAAACAAAAGTAAGCTTAAAAGGGAAAAAATACCAGGTGGACAGCTGGCAATGACTTTTGCAAGGATGGGAAGGATCCAACATCCCTCACAGGTCCAGCCCTGCTCTGAAGCTCAACAGCTGCTTTAGAGATATTTTCAGTCTGTCCCAAAAGTCACATAAACATGAATACTCCAGAAAACTACTGAACACAACCAGGTCATAATAAAAACTATGGAAATGGGGCCTTAAAGACCAGAGAAACATACCCCAAACAAGACTGATCCCTCCAAGTGTAACCCACAGTGAGCCCTGGCAGTCAGCACTCTCGCTTCCTGGACGGATGCTGCACTGGGGAGGACTGAGGGACAATGCTCCTGACAGGTGAAGAGCAGGATGCCACTCATAAATTTATTATGCTGTCTTCAGTACACTGAGTATCCTTCCCTTGCAACAAGTTCCCAGAGAACACAGCAGGCATGGAATTGTACATCATGGCATGGTCTGGATTTGAACGGACCTTAGAGACAGTTTTATTCCACTCCCTGACACAGGCAAGGACATTTTCCACTATCCCAGGCTGCTCCAAGCCACATTCAGCCTGGCTGGGACACT